TAAACTACATCCGCATCCTGGGTAAGACGATAAACTATATCCAACAGAAAGGCCTCTGTTCAGTAGTTTTTGAGGAGCGTGGAACCACCTGTTTTTTTTTTTTTTTTAAAATATTACCAGCAATACATTTTTAAAAAAAAAAAAATATATTACCAGCTATACATTTTGGAAGAAAAAATATTACAAGAAATAAAAAAAAACTTAAATAGCCCATTGTGCTTGATATGCCGTAACACAAAACAAACTCAAACAAGCTAGCAATACATTTTTGAGGAAAAAATATCAACAATTTGTTTAAATAATTATTACTAGCAATACATGCCAGCAAGACATTTCTTTGAAGAAAAAGAATATTGCCAGTTATACATTTTTGAAAATAAAGAAATAATACTTACCAGCAATAAAAAAAAAATCTCGTCGACATTAAATAACAAATTGAGATTGATATGCCGTTAGACAAGCCAAAACAAATTTTATTGGTTTTTCTTCTGAACAAATTTCTCCAATTTCATTTTTGGGATGAATGATTGTCAATATACGTTTATTATTTAGTCCCTGCTTAAACGGCGCTTCATTATATAATCCAGGATTGAACTCAGGACCAGTAAATGATATTAATACATGTATAATCATTTCCTACGTTCACTACGACACAGTCAAGAATATTCAGCAGGAACGAGCAATAACTTTCAACCCAGGGACAAAATAATTAACAGATATCCCATATCAAACAAACACTGGATACATGATGATGACCACGGTGTACTTGCTAGAAAGGTTGTATCTTTAATAACGTCAATATCAATCACAATGAGAAGAGTAGTTCGAGATAATACTATTTTTTACTGTTTAATTCGATCATTTACCGTATTGTTTTTCTTACTAATTTTCCACATTTGGTAAACCCTAAGAGTGTAATTTTATTGGAAGTGGTTTAACCTGCATGCCAAGTTTTAATTACCTTTTAATAAATTTTATTCTTTGTAAATCCAATGAAATCATAGCTTTTAGATGTTTGTGTATGTGCATGTGTGTGTATGTACAATTTTATCCAGCTCACAAACAGACGAGTTGTTAAACTCTTCCCGCAACTTGATTAAGTAGACGTTCAACTATCTGGGCGTCATAATTAAACGATTTAAGAACATACCATGTATTCACTATATATATATATATATATATATATATGCGAAACATTTACATTGAATTAAAAAATGTAGTTTATCAGCAAACAAGTGAATATTTTAAGCTTTTATTTGATTAATTTAAACAAACATTGACAAAAGGATTTTTTGGTTGGTCATAAAGATAAGACCATGTAAATAAAAATAGCAAATACAGAACAAATAAGTCACAACGATATTTTAATTCTCAGTATATCCCTCATTTTTGCGAATTACTTCTAAAATTCGTTTTGGCATACTCGTTATTAACTTCTGCGTGAGGCTGCTTAGGATGCTCACCCAGGATGCATAATCTGCAGCACGAAGACCATGCACAGATTGAAATTGCGATCCATGTGTATAAACATCCCTTGCCATACATCCCCAAACATTCTCGATTGAATTTCTATCTGGAGAACGTTGTGGGTTGCAGCATTGACTTGCTAGAAAATCTAGTTTCCTCCACATAGATGAGCGCCTTTAGCAATTACCGATGCCTTTCTTAAGATATCAATATAACTAGCAGCTGCTTGACGGCCTTTTACCTCCTGTAAGTATTCCATTGTACGAAAACCATAATTGATCCACCTCTACTGTGTCTTGTTGAAAAATATCTTTTGGGATATCTTTTGCATGCCAGTAACGCTGAAAACCCTTCTGGGTCATCCAGATTGATTTTTTTTTTCTCGTCTGAAAACAACATTTTCTTCCATTTACCCACATTCCAAGTTTGATAATCGGAAGCAAATTGTAAACGGGAGGTTTTATGGCAAAGAAGGCGAGGCCTCTGCAGCCGTTACAAGTTATTAAACCCTTTCTTATTTAAATGCAGTCGAATTGTTCGAGAACTGCATTCAGTATCTGCATTCGCTTTTATCTGATTTGATGTTATGCTTCAATCACTCTTAACTTCTCGCCTAATGCGTCTGTCTAGAGATGGTGAGATGTTATTGGGGCAACCGCTTGATTTTTTAGATACATACGCATCATTTTAAGTGAAGTTAGCAATGACAGTTCTGCTACGGCCGATTTCATTTGCAATGGCTGGTTGCGATAGACCACGAAAGTTCAATCTTTCCCTGTTACAACTTTGTAAAAATTTTACCCTTTGCCATTTTAAAATCTGAAATTTAATGCTGCAAATAAGCTACGCAGATGTGTAGACGTCTGAAGCTATGACCACACTGACTAGTTCTAAATTTTTTCCCAGTAATTTGTTTTTTTTTTTACACATGGTTTTAACTTTATGAACAACCACAAAATTCCTTTTTCAATGTTTGTTTAAATTAATCAATTAAAGGCTTCACTTGTTTGTGGAAAAACTACATTTTCTAATTAAATTTAAATGTTTCGTAAATATATTTTGATTAAAGTAGCAGAATTTTATATTTTTTTAACCCGTTTGTATCTGGTTTTAAGATTTTGACCAGGGGTGTATACCGTATATACTCGTTTATAAGCCGACTTCATATATACTTCAACTAATGATGTTTTGCATTAATTTTAACCATTCCAAATAAAAATGTCCGTCTGTATTGTCCAAGTGATCACTATAAGCGCCTGAGTTTAACCCCTTCAAAAAAGTACCTGTTTTGACTTTCTATGTTTTGTGTAAAAACTGACAATAAAACTCGTACTATATACGAGTATATATGGTAGTATTTAAATGTCAAGTTTGTTTTCAAAAGAAAGAAATATATTTTTATTTATTAAAACTCTCTTCTGTAAACACGTTCTTGTCGCTTTCTTGATTTCTATTCGTTTCTTTAATCGTCAATGCAGTAGACTAGATCAGTATCAGTTGAAACTTGTTTTCACCAGTCAAAATCATGACCATCGATTGTAAAATTTCTATTATAACATAAAATATTTTCGGAATAAATATGTAAAGAAAAATAAAAATAAATTCATAAAACTTTTTCAATGATTTACTAAGATAAATTAGTCAATGTACTAATCTCTAGAAACTGTAATTTCAATATATTACTGAAAAAATCGCTAACTTTCTATTCAGATTCCTGACACCATATCTCTGAATTTAGGTTAATACTTAAACATTTTTTTAATAAGTAAAGAAAAAATAGAATTAACAAATCTTTTTCAAGGTTATATCTACGTAGATTAATAAATCATAGCAATCTTTGAAATCTTTTGAAACTAATTATATTTTGGGGAAAATCGGTCTTGCCCTAATTTTTGCCTAGTTACATTTTCTTTTGCAGAAAGAAAAAATATTTTCAACAATTTGATATTCATGAAGATTTTAAGATGCTCCAAATTTTGTAAAAAGCAGACGAGTAAAGGAAGGATGGTAGTTAATGCAGAAAGCAAAGTAATCAATAACATAATTGTAAATGGCAGGTCGATCACACTGATCAAAACGCTAACTGATTTAAGTTGTTAAATAGCAGAAAGCATGTCAATTTTCAGACATAAAAGAATCATTTGCAGAACACTTTCTCAGAATAATTCCTGATATTATTAATGAAAAATTAGCATTTTGCAAGGTCGGCACTTTGTGGGGAACTGGGTTTTCGCAGTATTAATGGAAAAAAAAACATCTACGCGTAACTGATCACGGCACAAATGCGTCTATCGATCAAATTCACGATAATGGAATACCACTGAGATATTTTTTGTTTGGCAGTTAAACTAAGTGTCGTTGCTAACGTGGCTTACTGTTTACACAGTATGCAATGGATAAATTGTCGTCTAAATTAAGCAAAAATGAAAATAACATTGCCACCTCATTTTAACATATTTGTTTACAAAAATTACGCAAAAATATCTTGAAATACTAAAGAGTAAATTTCTTCAATAAAATCGCCATTTGCTTCAAATAGGGTCTCCAGACGACTTCGGAGTCTCAAGAATCTCTTCTGAACGGTCTCCTTGCTTAAGTTAGTGAATGCTGCCATAATCCTTGCCTTCAGTTCATCTTTGGTGTCACAAGGAGTTTTGTTGGTTTCTTGCTCAACTGCGTCCCACACATAATAATCAAGGGGGTTGTAGTCTGTGGAGTTATGTGACCAGATGTAAGGGGTGACGTGGTCTGAGATGACAGGATTCTCCTACTTCTGTGGCATGGTGCTGAGTCATGTAGCCAGACATAAGGTATTCCAGCAGACATTCTCTTGACCCAGGACAGAATTACCTCCACAAGGCGCTTCATGTAGGCCTCCGTGTTGAGTCTAAGTCCCTGTGGGAAGATGGAAAGAGGCGTAACGTCGCTATGACTAATGATCACTCAAAACACCTTCGAAATCACCATTAGACTCATCCAAATCTTCCCGAATCTTCTTCACTGCCCTCGGATTGACACCATATATTATGAAATGTTCTTATTGGAGATTCTGGTGCGAATGCTAAGCATTACAACAAGTCGTTTCCATTGAGTCATGGTGTTTTTTTTTTCTCGTAGAAGGTGCCCAACTAACCTCGCTATACTGTGCTGTCGACAAAGTTAAGAACAAAAAACGCGCATGAGCGAAATTAAAAAAAAATAAAATGGCGGCAATTTACCTGTCGCACTCTGTACTACATTCATACTGATTGGTTGATTGTGCTTTTAGCGGCATATGAAACATGTGCAGATTTCCTAATGCAGAAATCAACATATTTTCTATACGCTTTTATTTTTGTAAATAATAATGGTTGTGACACGTCTTACGAATTAACCCATAGCTGGGAGAGAAGAGGTGAATTTGTACCTTTCTCAAGGGTATTTGTCGTAAGTGAATATAACGAACTCAACTGGAATTGGAACTCGACTCTCCGATCAACAATTAGACATTAGACATGTGTAATGTCTAATAGCTCGCAATTGTTGATCCAAACTTACCGCACCTGGTATTCCAAAGCGATCACCCATCTAGGTACTGACCAGGCTCGACATTGCTTAACTTCAGTGAACTACGCGAACCGGTGTTTCAACGTGATGTGGCCGTAAGCCCATTCATACTGAATAACACATTCATACTACATTTAGAAGTATAGCACACTTTGTCCATTTGCGGGTGAATCCTTCTTTGCAAATCTATTCCACCTACGACAGTTGGTTTCTAGTTTAGAGCACATACACATTGAAACTTCTAAATGTAAAAGTTAACATGAATTGACTGCTGATCTCAAAAATGAACTACAATTTGTTGTTAACTAGAGCAAGAAATGACGTAATAACGGGTTAACGTTTACAGCTAACATGAAGTTGTATGTTCATATTAATCACATTGCTAGGTCTCTTGCGAGGAAAGTTGGATTACTGTGTTGTGCCAAAATATGTCTTACCCATTTATAAGCGTAATATTTATCTATGCATTGAATATTGCTATCGCATCTGGTCTGGTGCTCCTGCTATGCATTTATAGGTTCTAGATAAAATACTAAGAAGAATTTGCAAAGTTATGGATCCTTAACTGGCATCTCGGCTTCAGTTACTTTCTCACCGCCATAACTGCCTTTTGTACAAATATTAATTTCCTTTTTGGTACTTTGAATATGAATATAAATGAAGGACTAGTTTGTCGGCAGGATCAAATGATTTTACAGTTGAAATGTCTGCATGTAACCGTTAGTTCTATGCTAAAAGTTTTTTTTTTTTTTCTCGGACTTCTGGCTTGGGGAACTCTCTTCCGACTTCTTTCTTTCAAGTGATTTTTGACCTTCAAAAACAGATATGCACTTTCAATCGTTATCTTCTGTCTTTAGAAATCCTGTTTTTTTTTTTTGCTCTCTCTTCTAAATAATTTCTTTTTTCATATTTTCTCATATTCTCTTGTGCTTTAGTGGCTTTATTACCTTTGGTGGAGTGAAATGATTAAAAAATGTAATATGGTAATATATGTAATGTGGTAACATATTGTTCTTCAAAGAATGGCCCGATAAATGGAATTTATACTATCATTTGGATATTGTCTGTGGCACGTCTTTTATTAGGGGATTTTTGTTTTTTGGTTCTTACAGTAACTTTCACCGTTTTTTTTTTTTTTACTTCAGGTGAGAGGGGTCATATATGTGATAGCCTAATCTACGTCGACGGACTAACCCCATCTATGTGATTTATATTTTCCGTCTCTCTTTTTTTCATACAGTCGGAAACATCTTTATTCATGATTTTTTGTTATATATATTTATCCTTATTTGCCTATATTATATGATTATTTATTGCCACTTTTATTCTAAGAGTTCACCTCTTTGCTTACTTTTTCGATTTCACTACTTCTAATCTTATTTTTTTTTTAAGAGCTCGCTCAACATTACCTTTGTTGATCTTATTCCCAGGTGACGCAGATTGAAATTATTTCCTTTCATTTCCTTCCAGCTTCCGCTTTCCTGGGTTTACTGCTGAGAGTAGAAGTCATGGAAGTCGGTTATTTTATTATATTTATGTGGCATCATTGGATGGGTCTAACTTATCTGATTTTCCATACTAATTTCTCAAATTCCAGTGAGTCATTAGCCTCTTGGACTACATGGATGAATGTGAACGCGTAGGATTCTAATTTGAATAAGACTTTAAATGCTGAAATAATGCTGCTGTCATGGCTAAATCCAGTTCAATTTTTCTGTGTCAAACGAAAGTTATCATTCATAATTCATCATTTATAGGTTCTTGTATAGTTTCTCTTCATTTCCGATTTATCTAAAACTAAATCCTGAACTGTTTTGTTTTAGGTTATGAAGATTTTGGGTTAAATTGATTCGCGTTCCTATTAACAACTTGTATTGAGAAGAGATCGATTGAACTACTACAATTTTGTGGATTTTCTTATCTTATCAAAAACACTTACGTCTATATGTTACTCGAGATACCATTGATAGTGATCACGGTCGTAATTCTGGCTAGATTACCCAGTCCCAACACTGAAGTGGAATGAAACGGTTGGGAGCTTGCCACAGGCACATACTTTTTACTGAATCCATTTGCTATTTGGCATCGATCGTTTGGTACCTACTGGCGACTTACTGTTGAATCACTAAAATTGGCTGGTGTTTAATCAAGAGCTGAATCACCTGAAAAGAATGAGTCAGATTAAACTCACCTTCGCTCAAACTGCTCTTTCTTCTACCGTATTGTCTTGTGTATAATACGACTTGATTATAATACAGCCCAGTATTTCTGAAGCTAAAAATAAGGAATAAATTACATCTTTTAGTATAATACAACTCTGTAGTATAGACATCCCTATGCAATTTATTTTGAAAAGTTGTACCATATTATCTATTAAATTCCCAATGTTGCATATATATAACTTTACTAAAATATTTAATTTTTAACGATATTAAACACTTGAAATAACCTAGATGTTTAGCCATTGAGTGTTTCTTTACTAATTTCCGTTTTAAAACGTATTTTCGAAATTTACGCTAAAGGTGATAAGTAGACATACGTGATAATAGATTTGAAGGTGTTAGATAATATATCGTCGTTTTCTGTTTGATATGACTTTATTTTATTTCTATATATTATGAACTACGAAAAAACTTGTCTTACATCAAGGAAAAGCATTACAAAAAAACCAAAAAAACCCAATAAAATCAAATTTAAACAAAATTTACCTTGTGAGCAAATCTGAGTATATTTGGAATCTTACTGTTTCAAATAATATATTTTTATATCTGTCTATATCACTGAGATGAGGTAGTATGATTACTTACATTGTTTACATTATACGGGCTGTTATTCTCATCTTCATTGCTATATTCAAAACGTTTCGGCCGTTGTACACTCCGGCCTTCTTGAGGTGATTGGAATTACGACCCGAATCCTTCATTTCGAGCACCTTGGTAGATTGTTCTAGTTCCACGTGTCATGCCACTTCCGGATGTCTCAGTTATTTTCCTTTAACTCAAGTCTCTAATTTTTTGGTTCACCACTGCTGTAGCCTGGTATTGAAATCACAACTCTTTAGGTCTTGTCACTGTATCTAACCAAAGGCTTTATCCACTGGACAATGTGCTCTTGACGATAAAGGGTTCGCTTCGTATTTCCAATCATCTGAAGAAGGCCGTAGCGTACAACGAACGAAACGTTTTGAATGTGGCAAATAAGATGAGGACAGCGGTCCGAATAACGTAAATAATATACGCATACATTTTTATGTTGAGTAAAATTTCTGAAAACGACATGTACTTGATTATAATAGGACTCCTATCTTTTCGCGCAATTTTAGTTCAAAATTTCTCGTATTGTGCCTAAGGAAAAAGGTAATTCATATTTTTCTTAACATGTTCTATTTTAAATTACTCTTGATACGAACACAAAGAAATGAAAATGTTCATGTTCGTCGCCACATTCCTGTTCTATCTGTTAGGTTGAAAAACGCAGAATCAAAGAAAGAATTATATGAAGACTTAACGTTATGTGAACATTGACATTATTTCATTAGGAACACCTGCCTTTTTTTCTGAAAATATAAAAAAGTAAAAGTGGCTGTGTAAGAAGCGTCTTTCATCTTTGGTAAGCTCAATAAAGCAATTAAAGCACAAAATATTTTTCAGTGACCTTGAGAGTTAATGATTTATTGTTGTATATATATATATATATATATATATATATATATATACAGTGCTGTTCGATAAAAGTGACTCACCTGATTTTTTTTTACTAAATGTTCTCTTCTCCGATGAAACGTTAGTTGAGCTAAATTTAAAGGATAAGCGATCTAAAATCCGAAGAAAAAGCTTTGAAATCTCTTTGAATTTAGCAGGAAGTACTGTCAAGTATCCATTCAGTATAATGTTCTAGGGATGCTTTTCTTTGCATGGATCTGGTTTCTTAAAACCTAATGAAAAGTCCCTCAGGAGCGAGCAGTACAAGAGAATTTTGGAGTCTTGTCTGCTCCCTTCTGCTTAAAGGGTGTAAATCGACCCCACTAAACTCATTTGTATGCAGGATAATGTTCCCTGCTACAAATCAAAATTGATGAAGGGATACTTTGATGAGAAGCAGGTGAGTGTTAGGACATGGGCGCCCCAATCTCCTGACCTCAAACCATAGAAAACCTATGGAGCATGTTGCTCAGTTGCTTTCTCGAGAGCCTGTACTTTATAATGCTCCATAAGGTTTCTTTTCAAAAGAAGCTACTTGGTAGAACATTTTTTGTCATGTTCAATTGACTCTTGAAAGACGATTTTCTTTTTGGTGGGAGACATTTGAAAGTGCTGATAACTTTTGTTCTGCGCATGCGATGAATACATAGATGCCGTTTTCAAATTTAAACTTGGTTATTAATACGGAGTAACCGCACAGAGATAAAACAAAAATTGTGGGGGTTATCTCTGCTAGGATATTTGGCGTCTAGCAAACGTCTTAATTTTCTTTCGCTTAAGTACATAATAACAATAAATTAATGTGACCTGGAAAGTACCGTTATTGTCTCTAAGATCTTACAAGATTCTTGTGTTCTTTCTGTCCCTGGAAATTCTCCGCTTCTTAACCATTGTATCTACAATGCATGTCAGTTTATTTCTTGGGAAGGATACAGTGTGTCGCTGAAATATTAGGTTATGCAAGTATTTGTATTCGAACACGTCCAGGCACATTCCGCCTTCCACGTTTTTTTGAGACGCAGATCCGATGAGTCATTAGGTACCGAACAATAGATAAGGTTGTATTTATTATAATGATAGCGGGAAACGAGTGAAAGGCATAAATTAAAATAAATTTGTTATTGACGAATGATAAAAGGGCTTGTGAAAATGCTGAAAGTAAGCGAATATTTTGTTGATAGAGATGGTTCAAAGAACAGGAATATGTGCAAAAATGGCGTCAGAAGCAGGCAGCATGTTATTCGTTATTGCACTGGTAGTGATCATGTTCGAGATACTGGCAATAAAATTCAGACACACCACGGAATTGGAGTGGATTGATTGGAATTTTTCTCCAAATATAAAGAACAGATACTAAAGTATACACAGTGTAAACTTTAGTGCGTTGGGATCGAAAAT